TTTTTTATCGTAATCTGCTAATATTGTATTGAATATGGCAATTTATCATATTCATTAATTAAAGACATACTCTGATAAAAAAAAATGTCAAACCATGACACTTCAACTATAAAATATACATGCTCCAAGTCAGGAACCGTTACATTAGTGCAATTTCACAATTATTTTATGTTTTTTAACAAAAAAGGTCTNTTACATTAGTGCAATTTCACAATTATTTTATGTTTTTTAACAAAAAAAGGTCTAAAAAAAAAATTCGACTCGCTCCGCTCGGCGACAGATTTTATTCTACGCCCCCTCTTTCAAATATCCTAGAAACGCCCCTGTATATATAGCTAGTGGCCTTGGGTGTCGCACTAATTTGAACTTACCGTTTGTTAACCAACTTAGTGATGCCATGAGTAACTCATTAATTAAACAGCAACGATGTTATGGTGTTATTTGTTCTTTTGTACGACAAACGTGCAATGTCTGAAGACTAGATTTATATATTCACGGTGGACCTCTCGTATCCCCCTTGCGGGCGGGACGCCAAATTAGGTAATAATGAACAAGTCCCCTGTGGATCCGAACATTTGTCATCACCAGGTTGCCCCTATAATAATACCATCTGACTTCTAAAACACGCTGTTGGTAGAGAATTTGAACCGAAACTTTAATTTTCTTTCCAGTACACAAAAAAAGTCTTTGGGCCATACTTAAAATATGTTTTCTTCTTGTTAATTAAACATAAAAACAATCCTCAGAACACGGGAAATCGCTCCTGAGACGTTCTAGAAAACACATTTTTTTGGGGGGAGATCCCCCAAACCCCCTTACGGGGAGGGGGTCTGTACCCTCCCCCTCCTCGCGCTACGCGCTCGGGCTGCTGGCTTTCGCAGCACACCGTTGACTATTGAGAAAAATTTCTCGGCCCCCCCTTTTAGGAAATCCTGGATCCGCCCCTGCTGTATTTTATAAACAGTTATATAAATATAGATATTCTTATGACTTGGAATACGACCGGAACCAATCATAATGTTAATGAAAACACGGATCTCACTTGATAGGACGACGGCGGTTGATCATCTAATAACCTCGTACATTTTGCAACCAACTTACACAATCTGGTTGTAGAAAGTATACTACATTTGTTGTATTACAGTAAATTTATACTAAATATTGAACATACAAATACGTTGTATTCATGTGTGAATCTTTTAATGTATAAAATCTGTATATAGAAATAGTGAGGCGGACAGAGATCGTGCGTAGGTAGGTTTAACACGGAGTGTCGGCGGAGCTGTTCCGTGAGTGTTCGGATCAAGGCTATTGTGGCCTTTCTACAATTCTAAATTTATCAGAAGTCTTAAAAAAAATTAACGTTGTACGGCCGTTTCAAATTGTAAAAAATAGTCAATAAATTAAACACGCGCCCGAAGGTCATTTTGTTTGTAACGTGAAGGTGGACTATTTTAGCAGTATTCAAATTTAGATTCATGTTCTCGCAATGCCCTTTTTTAGTGGTAAGTTACCGCGTTAAGTGTTTTGTTTGCGCGGTATGCTTTTCACCTTGGAAAATTTTATTTTTGCGGTAAGTTTTTCATTTCGGTCAATGACATTTTCGCGATAAAATTTACCTCGTGTTTGCGTTGCTTGCGTGCGAAGTCTTACGTGTTTGTCTGCGTTGTGTGTGTGGTAAATTCGACATCTTGGTCATTTGTATGCTAAGTTTTACCCCTTGTTCTATGTTTTTTGTGCAGAATTATAAACCCTTTCGTCTACGTTGCTTGTGGTTAAAATCTTACCCCTCGGTCCATGTTATTTCAGCGGTAAGTTAATTCCCTTGCTAAATGGAGTTTTTTTCTGTCTTAAATCGTGGTCTTTCTTGTTTGCATGGTAAGTCTTTTTTCATAGTCTGCGGTGTTTTCGCGGTAAGTTTTACCTTTTGGTTAAATGTGTTTTCGCAGTTATTTTCACTCATAAGTCTATGTTATTTTCGCGGTGTGTTTTTACCCCTTGGTCTATGTTGTTTGCGCGGTTAGATTCACCTCTTAGCTTTCGTTGTTTGCACAGTAGCTGTTACTCATTGGCCTATGTTGTTTGCGCTTCTATTTTTGCTGCTAATTAATGTTTAATTCTCGATAAAGGCCTTCGCGTGATGATCAGTGCACTTCAAAGCCAGGTTTGCCTGTTGGAGAGGCAGGTGCCCGTCCGCCACAACTGTTGTTGCCGGGATCACACTGACTTACCTCCTACGATAGATAGGAGCTGATGCGATGAAAGTTAAAAAAAAAAAACACAAAACAAACGTGAAATAGAACTACAATATTTTCAAGGATGACATGGTCAAGTCTGTCTACAAAGACCGTCTAGGGAAGAAAACGAACATTGTCTAGGTAAATGATCTGTAATTCACAGATTATGTTACCAATATGAGGAACATATAACTGAAATTTCAACATAGGTAGTTACAGACAGGTAGAAGCTATACAGTGGGTTTGATGGTAGACATGTACAATGTAGCATTGACGTATCCTCGTCTAAGGTAGTTTCGTATATGGGTATAGTATGGTTCAAAATAATTCGTAAATGATTTCTCAAGGTTAATGCACCTATACAATAGTGGCGATCCATGTTTTTTTTTTGTTTCAAAACTAGGATACCGTTTTATAGAGTTTAACATATCTGCAAGTATATGAGTATTTCTGTGTTAATTTTCTGACAGCGAACAATTTGAATCCCATGACATACCTTTCGTGTTTTCAATTACATTATTATAATTAAAAACTATTGAATAGTCAGGTTACTTCATTGTTACATGTAGTTGATGAAGACAAGATAACTAAGGCGCGATTACAGTACACAACTGACAAATATTATGTAATGTCATTTGGAAGTTTCGTTAAAAACAAAAAGTATAAATATAATATCATAAATACCCGTTGCTGGAACTTCAAAGAAAGCCTACATGTACAATGAATATACTTTAAGAAGAGTTTAAATTACATGTCCTATCCTGATCAACGTTTCATTTGCGACCGTGCTGTTAATATTTTTGAAAGCCCTTTTATATTTCCATTAAACAGTTTCGATATATCGCCAAATCTCACATTCTGCCAATATAACGATTTTTACTGAATGTATGTAGGAAATATTGTAACAGTTTGTTGATTTACACGTTATAGTCCTCATATTCAAATATTCATATTATATCTAATAGAAATGAATTCAGTTTGATAGTTTTCAATTTCATTTATTCCGTACTTTTCTGAAATAAGATTTTCGATAGAAATTATATTCTCTGTTCTGCAATCATCGCTTTCATTCATGTTCAATTTAAATGTGTGTTTTTCATTTTTATGCCAATACGTGCTTTGTATTCCGTTGACAATGAAAATAGAAAATCGATCACACCTCGAGTACATGTAAGTCAAGTGTATCATTGATATCGATTAATATGGACGGTTCAATACTTTATAATTCCTACATAGAGTGTTATTGTATATGTAATTATGAAACATACACAAAGATGTATGTGAATGTTTTCCCCAAAAGTATCTGTTATGAGTCGTAACAATTACGGATTAAAATCTCTTCTAGATTCCATCATATAAAGAGAACATTGAAATATCGTTTGTCGATTTCTTGTGAAATTGATCGACACTGCAAGCTTAATGTCATATAGTGTTAATACACATTTAAACTGAAATCGACATTTGTATGTTATACCGGTATACGTTATAACGGTATCAGAGCTACCCGTATTACAGCTTCAACGGTACAACAGCTACCCGTATTGACAGATGTACCGGTATCACATCTATCGGTATATAATGTTGTAAAGTGACGGCCTCCCCACCTGATCTCGTCCACCCAAACACTATTGGTAACGAATGCGTAGAGTTATGGAAACACCTGTCAATCTCCGACAGATCCTAATCACGGACGTGTTAAGTATAACGGTCAATATGTCCTGATGATGGTCATCGGACCCTCCGGACTTAGGGTAAGGTTTAAGATTACTCAATCACCGCTAATAAGCTTTAGTTATATATTGTGGTAAGCGCTAAATAGGACTTATCGCGATACACTTCCGTTTACGTTTATATTGAACATTCATTTCCTACAACCAAAAATATCAATTTTGAAATTAAATGACATATTGATAAAGTGAAACTATCGTTTCGATATGTTTTGACCCACAAATAAAGTATATTTTCTTCTTAATATTATTTCTATAAATAGCAACATAGAAATATGAAAATATTTTAAAGAAAAGCTGGGGTACTTACCACACGATACGGATGCTGTCTGATATAATAAAATAAGTATCAACAGTGGGACACCTCCGATCTGTGTAAAGCGTAGCCTTTTATCAACCATCTTGACATGCCTATCTTCCAACCATGCTGGGGTAAAAAACACTTTTAAAACATTTTCCAAACATTTTCATGTTTCAATATCCGTAAAAAACACTTTTCTGTGTCACCCAGTATATCCACAGGTATGAGTTAAAGTGTCGACACATAATTGCACACTCAGTATAGCTTACAAGTTACACGGTAAATGTTCCGGTATGTAACGATACTCGATATGCCTTTTCCGGGCCTAGTTATCGGGGCCTTGATCATCAAGTGTAAGGCAAAGCGTCTAATCAATATAGAGTTGGGAAGCAAGAGTTTCAGCGACATAGACACACGTATGACATCAATAATTTGTTACCACTTCAGATATTGATTGATATTTAGCATTTCTTACGGCTAACTGCCGCTATTACTTACTAGACGACTGAAGCGCTGCTCCCTAAGATAAGTTCCGATAGTAACGTGTATGGCCGGGAGCGTCAGCTGTGTAAGTTTAAATGCGGTTACATATTACTCCACAGCTAACCATGTGTATCTTGAACTGAAAATACCACGGAAAATCATTCACAAACTGCATCTACTACGCAGTGAATTGTGTACTTCATGTGATACTTGCACATAGTAACGTTTATTTGCATGACATTAAAAGCATTCCAGAATACGTATTTGTCGAACCCTATAATTTTTCATCAACCACATAAGTACATAATGTGGTCCGTGACATCACCCGTAGGACAGTGGCAGGTCAAGAGGGTGGGTTTGGGGTCTGTAGGGACGCTTCAATGAAACTGCATTGTTTGTTTCAGTATATTGATATGAAACATCCGCTGAAGTGCATTCCTTCTTGTAGTGTCTACGATTTCATACGAGCTGTTGATAGTACAATACTCAACGCACTTCATTATTGTTGTTTTGCGATAAACACATAAGCGACTATCTAGAATAGTGTATGACTGTATACAGTGAAATCCATATATCGTATTTTGTGTTTTTGTCAAATCTCGTTCATTATCGTGTCCCTCGTCGCATCTCCGTCCCTCTCCGACCCTTATTTCTCCCATCCGTAATCGTGCCCGCCCTCGCCGCCTCTTCGTCCCTCTTCGGCCAACACTGATCATGCCCCGACCCCTTCGTCCTTCCTTGGCATTTCTTCCCGTCCCTAAATGTCACGTGTCTCTGTCTTTGTCTCCCATAACCCCTCCGTTCCTCCCCGTCCCAATCTTCTTGCTCAGACCCTCTCCAGCCTACTCTGCCGTTATCAATCCTCCTCGTAACCACAACTCGAAGTCATTCCTTATATTGCATATTTCCTCTATTACCCTCCTCTTTCTTCTCTCCTACCTCTCCCCATATCCATTCCTTCCGGCCTTTACCATCACTATCATTTGTCTTAATCCGTCTTGGCACTCCGTTTACTTTCTCTTCTCTTCCGTTCTTTCGTTCATACCTATTCACCCCTTCTCTAATCCCTTTTACATACCCTTTATCTTGCTTTGCCTCATCCCCTTCCAATTCCTCATTTACCTGTTCAAAGTTTCTTAAATATCCCGGGGGTCTCATCGCCCCGGGACAGGATTGCACGCTTCAGGGCAACTGCGACGTACCCACTCATCAGTAGTACATATTGTATGTCTAGCCCGTACAGTACTTGCACTCAGACATCCCAGTGTGGTTTTTCTTTTCTATGTTTGATATTTGATCATCACTGGAAAATCTACAATTTAATTGATTTAAATTTCACTTTCATTTTCATTTTGCCGACATAATTTTCCTTTGAATCAACATGCCTCTTCCATATTTTATAAATGTAAAGTTAGTAATTTGTTCCTATGTTTTTATATTCAAGCATCAATAGAAGGATGCTGTACCTCCGCTGTTAGATTTCATTCACTGTTTCAGTCCTGCGACGTTCGGGTCACACGAGGACAGTTCATTTCGGATAAATGTGAATCAGTCACCCCCCTCGTCAACACAGATCTCTCCCCTCCCAAATAAATAACATACAGATACCGTCCCTCCTCCCACACAGATACCGTCCATCCTCCTCCCCCACAGATACCGTCCCTCCTCCCCCACAGATACCGTCCCTCCTCCCCCACAGATACCGTCCCTCTTCCCCACAGATACCGTCCCTCCTCCCCCAGAGATACCGTCCCTCCTCCCGTCCCTCCTCCCCACAGATACCGTCCCTCCTCCCCCCACATACCCCAATTAACAACGGTGACAGTAAAATGTCAAACATTCCCAATAAACTGTTTTATGGTTGTCACTCTCATTATATTCTAAACGATTTGATTCATGAAATAACTATTTTACTCTTGTATAAGATGTGTACTGGGGAAGTTTGTGTAGTTAATTATTGAACAAAATTGATCGGAACAAACATTCAGTTACAGAAATTGTCAACATCAACAGATAAAAGAAAATGATTAAATCATTATATACGAGGGGAACATTTTAATTTATGATCAGAGAAATTAAAGAGATATCTGCCGCTTGAGATTTATCCGAAATGATATCTCGGTAGAGGCAGGCGTTGAACTGTTTACTGATCAACATCGTTCAGACGAAGATTGGCCGTGTTCAGCAGCTGGTTAGGTTAGTTATAAATAAAAAAAAATAACAGTAGAATAGTCATACTTTTGAACTATATTTTAAGAATAAATGAGAATCGAATAAAAAAAAAAATGTAATTAATAAACTATGGATAACATATAAGAAGATATTAAACCTGTAACAAAAATCAAACGGAAATTGTCGGGTAAACATTGATAATAAAGATAACCATACTCTGTTAATGTCAACCCCGGGGCAGCGCTGTGAATCACGCGCTCATTTAGAAATGAAGCGTATTAAATTCATATTATATAACTTGACTTGCTGGGGGGCCAACACTTGCGACAGAATTGAGAACAAGATGAGGTTGGTGCCTATGGATAGGTATATTATAGGCAAGATAACGCGTGAAAAACACGTGTGGAATGGCCACGGGGGTAAGTGCGCCATAACTCGTCAAAAACGAAATGTTGATTAAACTGTGGCTGTATATCATATTTTGATTGGAAAGGGCACTTGTTTTAGATAACTTTAATAACAGTCCAGTCGTAGTAAGTATTTAAAGCTTGAACTTCCGTGGTACGACGCGTGTGTGTGTACCAGTGTAAACTGATGATGGCATGCAACGTCATATACACCTGGTCCGCTAATTAAATCGTCGTATCAGCTATGCCTTCCGAACATCATATTTTATTATTTAAATGAAATGCGATGTTCGTTTAATTTTCTCAAATATCGATCATCATAATTATGGCGGCGGTGTCTACTGACGGTGGAGTGGGTTCGATCTTAGGACCAAAGCACATCACAATAAAATGGAAGAACTCAGGAACAAAAGGTCCGTCACTGTCACATTATTTTGATAATTGACTACATTGAGGTGTGTATGGCATCACCACCGGCAATCCGGAGAGCCATAGAAAACCCTCGATTCCGCTATAGGTGGTCACATAAATTGCCTCATGCGATCATGTAGCGAATGCAACTTTCCTCCGAACCTGGCTGAGATTGATACTTGTTTATTTCATCTGGATTGAATACGCTTTATAAACCGAGACGAAAGCAGAGAAATGTGATTCTGTTAGCTATCGTATAATGATAACCACTAAGACATTTCACTAGCCCTTCACCACTGGATCGCGGGTTCGAGGCCTACGTGGGGCAGTCGCCAGGTACTGGCCGCAGGTCGGTTCTTTTTTTCTGGGATACGGCTTTCCTTCACAACCAATACCTGGCACGTCCTTAAATGACCATAGCTGTAAAGGACGTAAAACACAAACAAACCAAACCAAACAACTATGACAAACTCCTTTACGAAACCAACTTGGAAAAGGATTTCAACACCTTGGTACGCTTAGGTCTTGTTCTGGTGTTTGTTAGCGAAGGTAACCAAGGATACTTTTACTTAAATAAAAATACAAGATAATTTTCCTTTAATAACTTTGAAAGTTCACAAATGTACTTTAGTTGCATTCCTATCTATTCATTTAAATCAAAGAGAAAGCGTTTACCCTGCTGCCAATAATCGTGTGTTTGAAGCAGCGATATGTCTCCCTGATCCATATTAACGGAACCTGAGGGTCGCCAGGAGTCTGAGGTATACTTACTTACCACAAATATTACATAGAACATGTATTAAGAATATGTAGGTTATGGAGTGAATGAAATATATGATCAGTACATACGTGAAAGGTTATCGTAATGCATTCTTGTCTTACTTTCCGATGTCAATTTACTTGAAAGTCTATGAAATAAGTGTTCAGTGGTTAATGTCTGAAGAAACAATTTGAAATGCATTCCTATCTGACACTGTTACTCAACGATTAAAAAGCGTTACTAATCAGTCATATAGAGATTCTTTAACGACTGATGTTTGGGTAACATATTTATCTAACTAGTTAATTTTCAAATTGCATTAAGACGCGATTTGTTACCGAGTGTCTTTTACCATTTTCAAAATTAACCAACGAGAGTTACATAATCATGATAATCAACCGTCACGAGTTTTGGAATCGTATTCCCCCTCAACATTTAGATATTATATCTTGACAACCATATGTTTCTCGTGGGAATGCATTATGCCTATTCTTGTGTCCGATCGGGGAAACTATAAACTATGACTTCACGATGAAAGATGACGTCGCAAAGAATCGTTACTTGACGTCATAATAACCCAATGAAAGAACTTCCAGGGTGTAACCACCTAGTAGGTAACCATGAATCAGAGTGTAACCACCTAGTAGGTAACCATGAATCAGAGTGTAATCAACTAGTAGGTAACCATGAATCAGGGTGTAACCAACTAGTAGGTAACCATGAATCAGGGTGTAATCAACTAGTAGGTAACCATGAATCAGGGTGTAACCAACTAGTAGGTAACCATGAATCAGGGTGTAACCAACTAGTAGGTAACCATGAATCAGGGTGTAACCAACTAGTAGGTAACCATGAATCAGGGTGTAACCAACTAGTAGGTAACCATGAATCAGGGTGTAACCAACTAGTAGGTAACCATGAATCAGGGTGTAACCAACTAGTAGGTAACCATGAATCAGGGTGTAACCAACTAGTAGGTAACCATGAATCAGGGTGTAACCAACTAGTAGGTAACCATGAATCAGGGTGTAACCAACTAGTAGGTAACCATGAATCAGGGTGTAACCAACTAGTAGGTAACCATGAATCAGGGTGTAACCAACTAGTAGGTAACCATGAATCAGGGTGTAACCAACTAGTAGGTAACCATGAATCAGGGTGTAACCAACTAGTAGGTAACCATGAATCAGGGTGTAACCAACTAGTAGGTAACCATGAATCAGGGTGTAACCAACTAGTAGGTAACCATGAATCAGGGTGTAACCAACTAGTAGGTAACCATGAATCAGGGTGTAACCAACTAGTAGGTAACCATGAATCAGGGTGTAACCAACTAGTAGGTAACCATGAATCAGGGTGTAACCAACTAGTAGGTAACCATGAATCAGGGTGTAACCAACTAGTAGGTAACCATGAATCAGGGTGTAACCAACTAGTAGGTAACCATGAATCAGGGTGTAACCAACTAGTAGGTAACCATGAATCAGGGTGTAACCAACTAGTAGGTAACCATGAATCAGGGTGTAACCAACTAGTAGGTAACCATGAATCAGGGTGTAACCAACTAGTAGGTAACCATGAATCAGGGTGTAACCAACTAGTAGGTAACCATGAATCAGGGTGTAACCAACTAGTAGGTAACCATGAATCAGGGTGTAACCAACTAGTAGGTAACCATGAATCAGGGTGTAACCAACTAGTAGGTAACCATGAATCAGGGTGTAACCAACTAGTAGGTAACCATGAATCAGGGTGTAACCAACTAGTAGGTAACCATGAATCAGGGTGTAACCAACTAGTAGGTAACCATGAATCAGGGGTAACCAACTAGTAGGTAACCATGAAGCAGGGTGTAACCAACTAGTAGGTAACAATG